TTTAAAAAAATTGACCTTTTGATTTTTGAAGATAACACAGTTTTTTAATTGTAACTTATTATAATTCACTCTCTAAACTATTGACCCGTTGAAAAGTGAAGACTCAATCCCCTATATTTGCACTGTTTTTTAGTTCGCCCTTTACCTCCCTAACTCATTCCATGTGGCAGTGAGTATGCATCAAAAACTAAATATTTTGGCCACATTAGACTATGGCTAAGCATCGTGAAAAACAAAAAACAAAAGAAGGGAAAAGAAATAATTCTAAACAAGCAAATGAAGTCAAATGAATGGCTCTATGACCTCATTATCGTCATTTTAGTGGGAAGATTGCGAATAACAAATGGCTTTGAACTTGAAGAAACATGGTCGTCCCCGTGAGGCTTATAAACTTTGAAACATTTGTAAGCACATATGAAAAAGATACCAATTCCGTGAAATCTAATTGTAGGAATTCCAAACTTAGTTGTAGAATCAGTGGCCCATAGGAAGAACATTATCCAAAAATGCAATCAGGAAGCGACTACCACAAAACTTGCTAGTTGCACCAGTGACTGTTGAATCAAACTTTTTCATTTTTATAAATTATTTAATGCAAATCATAAATAGCAATGAAATTAATATCCCAATCGTCATATATACACCTCTGTTATTAGTAAAAAAGAACAGAGGAAAACAAAGTGTTCATATGCTTTGCTTATTTTTGTATTTGTTGATAATATAATACATTGCTTAAGCAATTTATAAATTAATTTCAACAACACATAAGTCTTTATACGCTGGCATGGGAAGAAGAGATATCCAAGGGTGACGACTAAGCTTTATTGTTCACATTACATTCAGGGCACTACTATTGTCTCTATCACTTTGTCAATTTTTTTTTTAATCTACCACGGCATTTAATGATATTCTAAAATGAAAACTTAGAAAGTTCAAATACCAACAAAAAGAAGTTTGACCCATTTAAGTCTAGGAGGTGAAAGTATATCTATGCAAAGAGTCTACTAAATTAAGTGCAGTAGTGCCCCTATTCGCCACACATAAATTTTATTCTAATTCACTAAGAGAATGACTCAATTTCATCCAAAATAAAATTTAGAATTCAATTTAAAAAAAAACACAGCAAACTAACTTTATGACCTTCGTCACTTACCTCTAAACCCACATTTGTATGTCTTGTTGCTGTCACCTTTTTCTTCTCACAAGGTGATTGCAACTTGTTATGTCTTCTCTTCTCCTCCTCCTTCTTACACAATTGCAACTTTCTTTGTGATCTTCTCGCTCACCATTGAACTCCATCCACTCCGCAAGTTCTATTTGTTTTCTATGTCAAACTCTCTCTGCTTCAACGCTTGAATCTTTTTTCCTTTACCTTTTCTTTCAGTCAAAATCCTACATAGAAGCCAAATCATCTTCATTTGACGATGCTAGTGACATTAATTGACATGATGACTCAATAATGAGTTATGAAAAGCGATTTACTTTAAAAAAAAAAGTAAAAATTGATGGATTGAGTTTTAAATAAGTTAATAGTTTAGGAACTTAGTTATATTAAATCATACCTAAAAGAATAAGTTTAAATTGAGTCAGCATTTTAAGGGTTAAAAAACTAATTTTTCCTTTCAAAAATATTCAAATATCTATTATACATGCCAAAATCATAGTTTCTTTAAAAAATATCCAAATATTTCTATTCATATCAGAATCAATAATGGACCTAGAAACATGATTTGTAAAATAATTTATATAATTTTTACATAAATTTTTAAAAAAATATAATTGAAAAGTAGATAATAGTAGTTTATGAAATAACTATGGTTTTAAATTTATACTTGATTTTAACATGTAATAAGATATGTGAATATATTTTTATAAAATCATGACTTGATTTTCAATTATGCTTAAAATCAATCTTCTTAATTAATTTTATGGATCAATTAAACCACATGACACAATCAATTATTTCATAATTAAATTTTTTATGGATATCCAGACGAGCCCAAAGCCTTTGTTAATGCACTTGATTTTTTGGAGAACACAATCGTTGGTTTCCATAATTTTATTTGATTTTGCTTTTAATCCTATAGTTTTTTAGTGTTTTCAATTCTCATAGAAACTAAAAACATTGAAACTATAGAAACATGTGTAATGAATGTCACGTAATCTTGTTAAAATTATAAAAATTAAAAACATTAAAAAAAAATATAAGGACTAAAAACAAATCTTGATGGAATTATAGGAACTGATGATTATATTTACCCATTTTTTTAATAAGCATACATTCTCATTTTTGTTAAACTCTTCATATTAATCATGCTTAAGGGTAATCTACTTTACCAAAATAGTTTAAACTATTTGGTTGAACACATCCTAAGCTTTACATATTTTTAATCTATTTTATCAAAAGTTTAGATAGTCTCTTTGAAGTTTTGATGGTGCAAAAAAAGTTAATCTCATTCCTACTCTGCAATATGCATGTATGTGTGTGGGAAACCAAGATCATTTGTAATTGATTGAAAAATTTATTGATAACTTAAAGTCCGCCCTGTAATTATTAGAGGGGTTTAGAGAAATTATGAATGAAAAATTAGGCTCAAATATGATGTTGAATTATTTATGTTAATCATGCTTGAGAGTAATTTACTTTACCAAAATAATTTAAGGCATTTAATTAGACACACCCAAAATTTTATATTTTCTTAATCTATCTTATGTATATGATGAACCAAGATCATTTTAATTTGATTGAAAATTTATTGACTACTTAAAGTCCACCTTGCAATTAATAGAGGAGTTTGAAAAATTATGAATAAAAATCAAGCTCTGATACCATTTTTTTTTAGCAAAAAACTATGATATCATATTAAACTCTTTATATTAGTCATGCTTGAGGATAATTTACTTTATCAAAATAACTTAAATTTTATATATTATTAAGCTATATCTTCTAGATGTGAAATTTTAATTTATTTTATCTTTAATATTCTTATCTAGATTGAGCCAAAATTACATTTATTTATAATTGTTTATAGATTATATCTATTTATTTTGTATTTATCAATAAGTTTTGTTTATGTTGCATATAAGGTCATGTATATCAAAATAATTTAACACAATTCACTCACAGTTTTAGTTCTTGATTTTTTTTCTCTTTACATCTTTTGTCATTTTTCTCTCTTAGTATGTGCAATCATATACAACAAAAATAAAAAATGTTAATAGATATAGAATAGGAAAATATAAATGATAAACCATTACAATATATAAGATATGGTCAATATAAGGTGATCATGTTTAACATAAATTCATAAATCTATTCATGTACTTGAATTGTTTTTAATGAATATATTTTTCCGTCTTATTTAGGTTCATCCAATTATATTTATTTTGATGATTGTAGTTATCATGTATAGATAGTATTTTTTTTATTTTGTATTTATCAATAGTTTTTTAATTTTTAATTGTTTATAAGCCCATGTATATCGAAATAATAGATACAACCACTCATATGTATGTAGAAATAATTTTTTTCATATAATGCTTAAAATTAATGTTATATATTGTATTTAGAAAAAATAATATTATGTATAATTTTATTTTGTATTTTTTAATTTTTTAAAAATATTATTTGATTTCACACATAATCTATTGTCCTACTTTTTAGATATAGAGTTATTTTCATAAAACTAATTAATCATTATAAAAATTTAGAAAACTATGATTAATAGCATATTTATATCTATCATTAAAAGATTGGCTCCCCTGGTTCTCAATTCTCATCACCATGACTCCCTCCATGAATATGAGAATGAATATGTTTCCTTGTTATATATAGTGTTAATCATGTATGGTTAGCTTTCATTACATTTATGATTTGTGGGTGATGAACATTGTATGCATCGTTCATGAGTGATTTTGCTCATGATAAAATTGTCAAAATAATGGACATGCATCTGATTTTGATCCTTGAGTAATGAAAAACAACATTGAACGAATTCTTTTCATATATCCTATCATGATTATTCAAGTATTATTATCAAGAATGAATTTTCTTAGCTGTTTATTTTAAAATTTATAGGTACAAATCCAACAACAACTATCAAATTCAAAATAACTGTAACCCTTAAATTCGTACTGAATTTCAGTTAGGATTCTAAATTTTTTTATGCCATAAGGAAACTACAAATAACATTTTTTTAGTAGACCTTTGCAGGTAAATAGTAAAGGAAGTTAATAAAAAAATTTTATTTAGTATAATTTTATTTGTTCTAATTTTATTATCTTCATGGTTAAATATTTAAAATAAAAAACTTAAATTTTATCAAAAAAATTTAAACTCAAAATTGATATAATAATTAAATTTGGTTGAGTTGTTCCAGCCAAAAAAAAAATCATTTTCAAATTATTTTGTTTGGAAGTTAAGAAAGATCTGTGAGTTTTTTTTTTTTAACCAAAGAAAGATCTGTCAGTTCAACCTCCATTAAAAACCTCAACCTCCGTCTCCATTTATATCCTCCCAAGCATTTATTTATATCAGCAGGGTGAAAGATAAAATTTGAATTAAAAAAAAGTAAAAATTTAAAATTTAAAATAAATTATAATTAAAATAAAGAAACATAAAAAAATATTATTAAAATGTAGATATTAATTTTATTGAAGCATTATTTTTGATTGAGTATTGAAATAAATCAAATATTAAATCAAATAATATATTAAAAACATTAATTAAACTAAAAATCAGATAATTGTCAAGAAAATGAACAAAAGATGCGGATCCCTTGACTTAGTCTATTAATTCTTTTCGGATAAAATAACTAATAATATGAATATTGATGGTTATCAATATCAATCATGCATCACCTAGATACACAAAATCTGGTCATTTTAGAATTTCAATTTTAAACTAATTTAGCTAGTTTCTTAATTTCAAACCTCATTATACACTAAAATCCAAGGATCTAAACCCCGAATTGCTATCTCCCATTCTAACATTGTCGCCAATGGCTACGTACGTTCAAGAGAAATTTCGTCTCTACGAAACAATGGCACGATTTTACTTGATAGGAAGTGACCGTAACAAGAAGTTTTTCCGTGTATTGAAGTTTGATAGATCAGAACCATCCGACCTCCATATTATTGAAGACCCTGTCATGTATTCCGGCGATGAAATCAAAGAACTTCTTCAACGTATTCGAGATGGTAATATAGCCACAGGGGGTCTCACATTTGTGACCGAAGCTTATGGGATTTCAGGCTGCGTCAAGTTTTTGGAATCGTATTATTTGATTCTAATTACTAAGCGCAAACAAGTTGGATGCATGTGTGGTCATGCAATCTATAGCGTACAACAGAGCCAAACGATAACAATACCACATGTCTCAGTTCAATCCGACACTGCTCGCTCTAAAACTGAACTTAGGTACAAAAGGCTTTTATCCAGTTTCGATCTTACGAAGGATTTTTTCTACAGCTATACCTACCCAATAATGCAGAGTTTGCAGAAGACTTTGTTGTCCATTGAAGAAGGAGGGATTGGGATGCCGTACGACAACATGTTTGTTTGGAATGATTATTTGACACAAGCAATACGGTCAATGTGCAATAACTCCATCTGGACAGTAGCTTTAGTTCATGGCTATTTTGAACAGGCTCGCTTATCAATCTTTGGGAGGGAGTTCAGCATTTCATTGATTTCTAGACGATCAAGATATTTTGCTGGGACGCGTTATTTGAAAAGAGGAGTGAATGACCTCGGAAAAGTTGCAAATGATGTCGAGACAGAGCAGATTATCCTTGACGAAGAAGCTGGCTTTTACAAGGGGAAGATGAGTTCAGTGGTGCAACTGCGTGGCTCTATACCGCTTTTCTGGTCTCAAGAAACTTGTAGATTCAGCCCCAAGCCTGACATCCTCTTGCAGAGGTATGATCCAACATACGACGCCACAAAATTGCATTTTGATGACCTCGCCGAGAGGTACGGCAATCGAATCATCGTCTTGAATTTGATAAAGACGTTTGAAAAACGGCCACGAGAAATGATACTGAGGCGTGAATTTGCTAATGCTGTAGCGTATCTGAATTTAGTTCAACCCGAGGAAAATAGCCAGATTAAATATATTCATTGGGACTTTCACAAGTTTTCAAAAGGCAAGTCTCCAGTCAAGCCTGCAAATGTTTTGGCGGTTTTACGTACTGTGGCGAGCGAAGCAATTAATTCATGTGGCTATTACTACAGTGGCTCCAACAAGACCAAGCGATCACCGTGTTTTCAGAATGGAGTTCTTCGTACCAACTGCATTGATTGCTTGGATCGTACAAACATAGCACAGTTTGCTTTTGGTCTTGAAGCTTTGGGATGCCAGCTCCAAGCAATGGGCATAACTGATGATTCACATGTGGATCCTGATAGTAGTCTTGCTGCAGCTCTAATGGAGATGTACAGAAGGATGGGAGATGCTCTTGCCCAGCAATATGGTGGTTCTGCAGCTCACAATACTCTGTTTCCAGAGCAGCAGGGAAAGTGGAACGCAAGAACAAGAGAGTTTTTGAAATCATTACAGCGTTATTACTCTAATACGTACACAGATGGTGAAAAACAAGATGCGATGAACTTATTTTTAGGCTACTTTCAGCCACAGAAAGGAAAACCCGCTCTGTGGGAATTGGAATCAGATTACCATCTGCATGTATCTGGGCCCATGAATGACCTGAAAGTTATTAACCCTGCTTGTAGAGCTGGAACAACTCTCACACCCATCCCAGCTTGTAGAGAAGATTTCAAGCGGACCAAGTTAACTTCATTTGATAAGTTGATTGGTAAGACATGCGGTGGGATTAGGAACGTGAGGCCTTGCGGTGAACCAGATCAGAAACCAGGTGGTAGGTATGGAAACAGTGGTGTTGCACCCGATGTAGCTGAGATACAGCTCAAAAGCCCAAATTGGCTTTTTGGACGAAAAAAGAACCAAGAAAGTGCCGTGCCGAAAGAAGCTGCTTCTCATGAAACTGATTCTGAAAAATCTCAAGCTGAAAAGAAGAAAACTGGTTTTTATAACCTTGATTGGCTTTCTTCTCGCAGTGAAATGAATGAAGAGGAAACTGCGCAGAGATATCAGGAAATAACCTCGGCTAATGAAGAGAATGAGAATGGTTGGTTCGGAGGTCCTCTTCTGGCTGATTTTGATGAAAGCAGTGAAATATATAGGCATTATGCTGCGCTGTGTCACATTCCTGAGCTAGAACCTTTTCACAAAGACCCTGAGAAGGACCAACTTTATGCTGATATTTTGAGGATGGGATCGTTTGACGTCCTTAAACTTGATGATGTTGCCGTTGCTGCGGACATGGAAAAGGCTCTCAAGGAGCACGACCAAATTGGTGATGACTTTGGAATCATCCCCAAATCTTGCAGATTCATTGCGGAGGATCCAAGCTGGTTGGCACGATGGTTAACTGGGAAAGAAAAGGTACTAAGAATATGAGGGTCTGGGGCGATGTAGTATTTGACTGTTACAGTGCTTTGATCATAGCATTGAGATATTGTACACTGCATAAGATTCTGGGATAATTTTACTGAACTTGAATGTCTTTTCATGTTAACTTTTATTATGGTACACTTGTTTTCTTAGTTTTTTACATATCATCGTTTAATTGGATTGACATTAATTTGATACCAGTTAGAATAAATAAAACAATTTGTGGTAACAAACGAAAATAATGTTACTCACACTAGGGAACAGGGAGACATAATTTATAAGTAAATATATAGATAATAGTGTCAAGGAATTATTTTACATGCTCAGATGACCAGCCGAATATATGGTGTTCGAGGGACATTAGATCAAAGGTTCAGGTCATTTGTATCTTCACACACTCTGTGTTTACAGGCTGTTTGAATAATACAGCTTTTTTTTTTCAATTATTTTCATACATGTTATTTGTCTTAATTGATATCAAATTTTAATTCATACAAAATTATTTTGCAGACTAAATTTAGTGTGATATTTCTTTTTTCTAGTTAAAAAAACATGATAAATATTTTTAAGTTCAATGGCACTGTCATGTCAGTAAGTTCTAATTTTCTGCACTTGTTCAGTTCAACGATATTATCATTAAATGTACATGATTCCTTAAAAAGTTTAGAATTTTTTACACTTTTTAGTAATTCAGCTTAATGTGTGTATAATATGTTTGGTTTCCTTAATGTTATTAAAATCATAATTTTGATAAAAAGTAGGTAACTAGCTACTTTCATCACTTTAGTGATTTTCAATGTAAAATCAAACATATTAATAATTCGTCAAAGTTTGCATGAATCCAAGTCATTCTAATTCCCAAAGATATTAACTTTTTTTTTTTTTTAGGCGCGAGCCCGAAGAAATTAGATCCAGAGCATTTATTTTCTGGAGAAATTTTAAAACGTAGTGTACGATGCAAAATGCCGAAGTTCCTGTAGTCATTTGTGATTTGTTTGCTGGGGTAAAGAGACAAGCGATTATTAAGATTAATCTCGCCAACAGTAACTGTTACCAACATTTTCAAGTCACGTAAACACTTGATAAACATAACCCAATAATTAGGATTTAGGACTCGTCGACAAGGAGCCCAGGGTAAGTTCTAACACTGCCCGACAAATCAAAAAATAATTAAATAAATAAAGGAGGGGAAAAAAGAAAAAGAAATGAGCGAAAACATAATGTGATCAGTTAACTAGCAGGAACGTAGCCCAGAAAATTTAACCGATCAGCAACTTATCCTCTTTCAAGAAAGTATAAGTAGGTACTTCCAGATTGTATGGAGCAGGGCCCTTCCTGATTCTTCCAGAAATATCATAATGTGAACCATGGCAAGGGCAAAACCACCCACCGAAGTCACCAGCATTTGGCAATGGAATGCACCCAAGATGCGTGCAAACACCAATTACCACGAGCCATTCTGGGTTCTTCACCCTCTCTGCATCCTCCTGGGGATCACGAAGAGATCCAACATCAACACTGTTCGCTGACTTGATGTCTCCCTCTGTACGACGCCGTATGAATACAGGCTTTCCTCGCCACTTCACAGTCACTGTAGTGCCAGGCTCGATGCTCGAGAGATCTACCTCGAGCGAAGCCAGGGCCAGAACATCCTTGCTGGCTGACATGGAGAGGACAAATTTGAGGACAAGGAGGCGAACCAGAGAAGCATACACGAACCTCCCACCTGATAGAACAAAGTAAGCAAATGCCCTCTTGCTTGGATCGCCTGGAGGAAACCGCTCATGGTTGTATTCGTCGTACAATATCTTACAAGTTGGATTCTTAATCGCTGCAACTGTCGCTGGAATAATAATGTTGTTTTCCTCCGTATGAACCTGCACGGTTTCAGAAGCAAAACCTGAAACAGGCGGACCAGAACAAGTTAGTGCAGAGATTTTGAGAGGCCCAAAAATCTGGCAAGGAATACAAGTTCTTTTGCGGGAGTGGAAAAAGCTTAAGCATTCTGACTGTACATTGTATTTACTAATATTTACCAGGGGCAATGATACAAATAAAAACAACCACCACAAGCTCCCGTAGTAGTTGTACGAAAAAATCTGGGATAATGAGATTATACAGTTTCAATATAACATAAATTATTAATATATTTGTAGGCAAAATAAACACTATTTAATTATTAATTAATCTCGTTTTTTGAGATATTTGGAAAGTCATTTTTTCTATTGAAAACCGAAATATACTCTGGATTAAAAATTAAGAGAGTTCAATACTACATTGACTATTTTTGGATTTCCAAATAATATAGAGAAACAAGTAGTCGAAGAAAATCTTAGCCAAAACACCGTTTGTATCCAAATTGCAAGGATAGCAAGCACAAACATATAAACACCTTTTGTTTCTCTTATATTCTTTTATTTTGTTTGTTGCTTTTATTTGACCATGACTCATACGTGATAAATAGCTTGATGTTATATGAATATAAAATCAAACCACATGAAGCCTCCTGACCTGCTTCCTTGAACCTGGCAGGCTGGCACGAGAGATCGAACAGATATGCAGAGACAACCAAACAAAAATGTTCATACATAAAGTATCCGTATTTTATAAGACCAAACATTTTGTGAATTAAAATCTTGATGCTTCATCGGAGAGCGGGAATCATAGTCTTAAAAATGTCCATCAAAAGATCATAATGGACCAAGATTTCAGAACATGAAATTTGACTATCACTAAACATTAGCGACAGCATATGTATGATAGACACCGTACCCGTTAAAACTTAAAAATTTAAATGTACATCAAAAAACAGCTTCAATTTTAAGCATAGCTTCCAATAAAAACGCAAAATCAATCATTTGCACGTAGAATCAAAGGCCCCAAATCAATCGAGAATTCAAGATCACATTGTCAAACAAAATGCGTATAAAAAACTGCAAATAATGCCAAAAATGAAGAAAACCCTAACCTCTGAAGGAAACAAGGGATTGGGATCTGATATACGAATGACGGGAACAAGAAGTGGAACTACTGTCGCCGCGCGAAGAAATAGCACGAGAGATGAAGGTGGCGGACCTCACGGCCTGGTTGGGCCTCCATGAACAAGAAGAGAGGGAAGCAAATCTCCTGGCTACAGCCCTCATCATTGTGTTTCTCTAATTCTGCTTTCCTTTGCTTGATGGCTCCTCTGCATCTGCATGAACCAGATGTGAAGCGTATTCGTATTTCGAATTCCTAGTCTAACGCTCCTTTGCAGAGATACCGCAAATACGGAGGTTAGTTAATCAATGAAGACCATCACATGATACCGGTTGCTCTGTATATTATTTGTATTTCTTGTGACACAATTTGTACACAATATAATATATATATATATATATATATATAATTGATAGTTGATTGGCTGAATATTAAGTGTATTAAAAATCGTATAGCCGTTTTTTTAAATATATGACTAAATTCCAGTAAAGATAATTTATTTGAAATATAAAACGTTTAAATAAAAATATAATGTCCAGTTAGTATCAAATCCATTGTTAGAATGTAAAATTTTAAAATAAAACTTTCCAGTGATTTTGTATATATTGATATTAATATTTGTTTCGGCCTTAAACAAAGAAAGCTTGATCTGAGTGTCGATGAATCATAGGTTGGGCTGATCGGCCCTGGTCATGAATTAATTGATCCATCATCCAAGTACATTGGCCCATCTTAAAGGCCCAGCATTTGGTCCCCAGTTACAGGTGAGTGGTGAGGTGACCATCAACCACGTCAACAGCAGGGCAGCTCTCGTAAGTTGTGCTTGCTCGGGCTCCGAGCTAGGGCCTACTTCTTACTGTAATTTAATATAATATTAAGGATATTAAAATTTTAAATTATTGTAAAGAACTTCAAAGCAAAATTTTGAACTAAAAATGTGAACCGTACTTTTTTGCATTCTATGATTTTTTTATTAAATTTTTTCGGCAAACAAAATTTTCTGAAACTTTTTCGAAAAAAAAAACATTTTTTTGGCAAAAACACCAAAAAGATTCTAAAACTTTGAAATTCATTTTTTAAATGTATATGATTTTGTTAAAATAATAATATTTTAGAATGATACATGGGGGAGTGAGTGTTTTTCAAAAATTAAATCTATTTGCTATAAGATTTCAAAGTTATTAGATCCAATGATTCAATTACCAACGCAAAAATAAAGAGAATTATTTTTATGAGGTTAAATTCAAAATATCATAATCTAGTTGCAGCAGCAAGAGGTTGGCCTAAGGAGAGGCTACTATAGCTAAGTTGGAAGGTATCCTTACTAAACTTTGGACATTCAAATGTCCAAATTTTTTTTTTGAAAGATGAAGAAAAGAATCTCTTTTGCCAAAAAAAAATCAATGAGAGATCAGTGAAAAGATTCCAACTCCAAGAAGCAAGACAATAGAAGACAACAAAATGATTGGAAAAAAAGGATGTCACAATAGAAGCTCACATCAAGGGGGACCTTGCTGCAGAGATTGAAACAAGCTTGACAAAAAGAAAATGACAGCAAGGAAAGGTCAACCACTTTGCTCAAGATTGTTGAAATAGAAGTGCTGAAGGAAATGTCATTACCTCTAACAATAAAATTGATGGTGAAGAAGCATGAGATTTCCAAGCTTCATGTGTCATTGAAGAAGAAATGGCAATAAAAGATTTCAATAGAGAATAAATAGCAACATCCTATGTCACGGAAGAAGCAGATGAAATCAAGGAAGAGAATGTTGAGGTAAATGAGAGTGAAGATGTAGATAAGGACGCGTACAATTTGGAGGAATTCAGTTTGGAGAAAGTGATTGAATCATCTTTCCGTATTCAAAGTTCAATTAAGGAAAAATATGAAGACGACGAAAAAGATGAAGAACAAGATCAACCATCACCACTTCATACAAGTTTTCTTGGCAACATGCAATTGATTATAACAAGTTCAAGAAGGCTGAAGAAAAAGTAGAAAAATTGATTAGTTGATGAGGAGGAGTGTTAGAGAATCACCGACTAATTAAACAAATAAAAGGTGACTTTAGAAGTATGGAGAAATGCTAGAGGCGGTGAAGTAATAGATCAAAAAAAATTCTAGATGCAATGTTTAATTACTTAGGCTGTGAATAGAGAAGAAGATCCAAGAAGATTGGAAAAGGAGTGATGTAACCAACATTCACAAGCATAAATAGGTAGCTTTGGAGTTGTGTGTGTGTGGCGAAGAGAGAGGAGCGTGACAAGACAGAAGGAAAGTGAGAGGAGTGTGTCGGTACAGAGTGTGTGAAAGTAAGGCGGTGATAGGAGCGAGAGAGCGTGATGTAAGGAAGAAAGAGAGTGATTTTAAAAAATTTGAGAGCTTAGTGTATACTGTAGTGTGTTTTTGAAATAAAAGTTATTTTTCATTTAAGTCCCCTTTTTCTAGATCCTCAAATCTCTAACACTTAAATCAGATCAATTGTAATTAGTTGGATGCTTGAGACATACTTATTTCCTCACCTGATAGGAAAACAAGGAATAACTCTATGCATTAAGTCATACACAATATTATTGCTCAATCTTTATTACCTATCGGAAAAAAAAAGTAGTAATAATTGACTGGAATAATCAACTTACACGTCTAGATATGTTATTATAAAATTATAACACTTAAATCAGATCAACTTTAATTAGTTGGATGTTTGAGATGTGCTTATTTCCTCACTTAAGAGGAAAAATAAGAAATAACTCAATGCATAAAATCATACATGAGGTATGCTTAATCCTTATTACCAAATAGAAAAAAGGTAGTGGTAGTGGATTGGAATTATCAACTTACAAGCCTAGATATGCAATTATAAAATAGAACACTTAAATCAAATTAACTTTATTAGTTTGATGCTTGAATCATGCTTGATGCTTGAATCATGCTTGTCTCCTCACCTGATAAGAAAAACAAGGAATAACTCAGTGCATAAAGTCATACCAGATGTTATTGCTTGATTCTTTATTACCTATCAAGAAAAAAAGTAGTGGTAGTGGACTAGAAGCATTCACTTACAAGCCTACATATGTAATTATAAAATTATAACACTTAAATCAGATTAGCTTCAATTAGTTTGATACTTAAGACATGGTTGTTTCCTTACTTGATAAGAAAAATAAGGAATAACTGAGTGTATAAAGTCGTACAAGATGTTATGGCTGAACCCTCGTACCTATTAAGAAAGAAGTAGTGGTAGTGGATTGGAATTATTAACTTACAAGCCTAGATATGTAATTATAAAATTCTAACACTTACATCAGATTAACTTTAATTGTTGTATGCTTGAGACGTACTTGTTTCCTAACTTTATAGGAAAAAAATAAGAAATAACTCAGATACATTCATTGCTCAATTCTTATTACCTCTCGGGGAGTAAATAGTTGTAGTGGACTAAAATATCAACTTACAGCCTAAATATATGTAATTATAAAATTATAACACTTAAATCAAATTAACTTCAATAAGTTAGATGCTTGTTTTTTCATCCAATAAGAAAAAAAACAAGGAATAATTCAGTACATAAGATTATACATGATGTTGTTTCTCAAATCTTATTGGAAAAAAGTAGTGGCAATGGATGGGAAGCATTAAGTCGCAAGTTTGGGTAGTTATAAAATTATAACTACGTTATGGAAAGATTCCTTATGCAATGATTTTCATTGACAGCCGTCTTAGCTCAGCCGGTAGAGCGCATGGCTTTTAACCATGTGGTCGTGGGTTCGATTCCCACAGACGGCGTTGAAATGCTTTTTTTCCTCCAATGAGGAAACAACCCCAAAAGCAGCAATGCACTAAAACATCACTTTTACATGATGTTGTTTCTCAAATCTTATTGGAAAAAAGTAGTGGCAATGGATGGGAAGCATTAAGTCGCAAGTTTGGGTAGTTATAAAATTATAACTACGTTATGGAAAGATTCCTTATGTAATGATTTTCATTGACAGCCGTCTTAGCTCAGCCGGTAGAGCGCATGGCTTTTAACCATGTGGTCGTGGGTTCGATTCCCACAGACGGCGTTGAAATGCTTTTTTTCCTCCAATGAGGAACAAACCCATTCTTTAGTTAGGTACTTGAAAGCTTTTTTGATCCAAAGCAGCAATGCACTAAAACATCACTTTTCTCTTTAATATTTTTGTTCTCTTGTTATTGAAGCTGGGGTGATCTTACGTACATATCTGACTTCTTTTTTTCTTTTTGGCAGAACATATCTGAAGTTTTGTTCATCAGCAATAGATTTTGCAATCCCATAGTGGCAAAACAAACGGTGGAGAATTAAAAAAAGAGTACATCACAAAGCACGCTCACAATGAATGAAAAGAAAGAAAATGAGATGGGAGAGAAGGTGGTGGTGATTGGATTGGAGCAGGAGGTGCATGAAACTGGACGAGACAAATAGAATAAGTAGCCGCAAAGGTTGACGCACGGCAAGCTGATGATGATGCAGCCGAAAGCGTATAAAATAATATCTTTTTCAGTTCTCTAACTTTGAGTGATCGTATAGTTAATAATTATTATTATTTCAGATCCTATATCTATATATGTATCATAATGTCTCCTCATGGCATCATTTCCCACGCACGCATGAAATATGGCTCACTTCAAGCTTTTCTCTTGAGTTGTAACTTGCCGCGAAGCTTCCATTGTAGTCATACATAAATAATCTCCTCGTTGATGATCTGTTCCCTTGAACTTATCTCAAGTTTCATATATGTTTAATTTATTTTAAAAATTATATATATATATATATATATATTTCAGATCTCAGTATTTCACTTTCCACGTTAATTAGGAAGATCACTTGCTATAATTTATCCATTGCTTACTTGTCTTTCTTAACCTTATTTGTCCTGCATATTAATTTGCCAAGAAAGATGGCATGCACGCATCATATATAATATCTGATTAAAAGAAGTGATATTGAGAATATGATTACTTACATAACATAAAGTATACTGCTATAAAGTTACATTATATTATTATATTTAAGCCATGAACAATGTAACTAATCTCAAATTTTCGTGGCTTGACAAAGGTAATGACCCAACATTGATTTAAATATGATCAATTATTAGATTAAGCATGGCGGGCCACAATCTTAACATATGTTTTGGCAAAGTAAAGCGACTAAAGATAACAAAAAAAAATGAGTTAACCTGTATAACTTTTGGCTTTTTTGTCGCTTCTCATATTATCATCCTCCGTGATTTCATTTTTCAATTCATACTCAAGCCACTACATGCCAAATTGATGTATCATAGTCTCCAGCTAAACTAGCCATAAAGTATGTTTCAAAATCCCAGTTAATAATCCTCATTAATGGCTGCATGTGAGATCTAGAGAACGGTCTAATAAAAACACTGCAACTTGCATCTCTCTCTGCTATATTTAGCATGCCCACCCTGGGTCCTAGTGTTGTGTTAGTGAAGCATCAGGAATAATGATGACGATTTAATGGAAAATATATATGTACCATACAAGTTGGGAGAGAATTCGATTAAATAAAAATAAATTTATGACAGTATCTATATCTTTTCACAATTTTATTTTTATAAAATCAGTTATAATATTAATTCAGATAATTATAAATTTAAAATTTTAATTATAAATAAGATATTTAAATTTTAAATATAACTCCTAATTTGTAATTGGGAACCTATTTGCAACTCTTTAACTTATAATTTATAATTTATTTAAAAAAAATTATCCAGTATCTAAAGGTAATAAATTCTTTATTTTGGGGCTCTATCTATTGTGCATTCTCCCTATAAGCTGGATCTAGCAAAATATATCAATTTTTACAATGTGAAGAACTAAGGTACAGCTCCGTAAGTAATAAAAGATTTACGTAGGTCATATATCCACAACCAATACACACAGTTACCAGCACAAAGGATAAACTTGTGTTCTACCCTGAGTACGCACAAATTGGAAACATTACTGCGATTTAAATGAATATATTATCAATAACAACTAGTACGCATGCATACCGATCGCTACCAGTCAGAAGAATACTTTAGCTTCAACAATAATTTCGAAAAGATTTACGGATACAACTCACATTAACCTTTTTTTAAATTTCAAATGGATATTTGGTGAGCCAATAATATAAGATTTGTTAATTATTATAATTCATTCAGAATATACTATGATCTTAGGAAGGATAAGCTCGATCGTCCGTCGGACACCGTTAATGATTTCATGTATAAATATGCACCATAACATGTAGTTGTTGTAGCATTGCTAATTAATTTTAACCTTGTGTGCATGGGGATACACACATATGGAGGAAATTAATCATTTCAATACTTTCTCTTCGTAAACAATTTATCTATTTAATTTGATTTAATAGCTGTATACATTATTGGGTACTTCAATACTCTTAAAAACAAGATCATAACATCTTTTTTTTTTATTACGACTATATAAATAATATATTCAATTTAATATCACAATCAATAATTTTTTTGTATCAAAACAAATGAACAAAATAGAAGAGATTATATATAAAGAGAAAGTATGAATTAGGAAGAGAGATTCGTTTACTGCCATTATTCCATCCTCATTCAAATCATGAACACATGACATGAGTTTGTAGTAGGCAATAATTGTTTGAACGATGAAGTGAAACGATATGATATATGTAACGCTTGGACAAGCAATATTCAGCTAAAAATTAGGCTGATAAACTGAACAGCATAAACTTACATGTAACAGTGCTGACTGAATCACTATCGCCTCGTGTGGCTTCCATCAAAATCATCAGTCGCTTTATCAAAAAAATAGAGCCCGAAAAAACCCACGGTCTCCCATTTGTTCACCGTGAAATTGATGATCAGACCCCCGTGGAAGAAGACGAAGTCACTGCAGATGACGATGAGAAGAATGGAGAAGAATCATAAAGAAACGACTCATTAACACTCTGATGATAACTATAAAGACCCGAAGCAGCTCGTTGTAGATCATCATCGTCCCTACTACAAAGCACCTGAGCATACTGCATTAGGTTTGGGAAACCAGCCTCGCCGGACGGTGCTGGCCATGGTGGTTGAGAAACTGGCGGTGGCGCTACTTCAGACGGTGGCCGAGGAGGAGCAGTTGAGGTGTGATGATAAGTCGGAAAATTAGCCACACGTTCAGGGAAGTTGAGTTTGGCTTTATTGCCTTTGAACTTCAAAGCTGCAGCGTCATAAGCAGCTGCTGCATCCTCTGCCGTGTCAAATGTGCCAAGCCACACTCTTGCTGCTTTGTTTGGGTCTCGGATTTCGGCTGCCCTTTCCCCCACGGTCTCTGCCTAACTCCTCTATAATGTTTTTTCCTCTCAACAATGACATTCCCTCACAAAAAAAATATTCGCTTACAGATCATGTGGAAACGCTTCTGGATATTTATTAGCCCGTTTCAGTCCAAGGTGTCGTCTAATTAAACAGATCCATATTCATTAATTTTACGCAATCATGATCAGCAGGCTAGCTAGCTGATAAGAAAAATAAAGTTTCAATTTTGCACCATTGAGAAATACCATTTTACCAAACCACTGGCTGGCTGGCTGATTGTCAGTGAAGTCAACAATTCAAGTTCAACGCATCGTTTTCAGTTTGACTCAAGCCTAAAAGATGATACACACTATACGAGCCAGCATACAATATAATTGAAGGTGGATAAAGAGAGTGTCTTTTTCAACTTGGCCGAACTAGCTAGCAGATCATCATCAAGATAAAAGCATGTTTTGCATATGCAATTAATTGTGATTTGGGGAAAAAGGTCATGGATCGACCAAAACATGAAATTATTGAAGACTTTTACTGCTCTTATTAAAGAGAGATCACATACTAGTTGCACTCTCGTGTAAGTGAAGGAAATCTCAGGAGATAATTTTGACAGGTATCGATCACTATCATAGAAATAAAGCAGACTATTCTAAGTTTTAATTAAGAGATCAGTGCACAGAGATCTTGATTGGAGATATAATATGGATAACATTATTGGTAGTATATGGAAAGAGAGTGGCATATAAACTTACAGATCACAGGAATTTACCTTGAGGTAGATTCTGGGATGAATTGATCTGAGTCTCAATCAACCAGAAGAGGTTGTTACTTGTGGTATTGGGAAGGTGGCGCTAGTGGTGCTGATAAGATAGGGAAACGAATTAGAGGCTGAAGTGTCTTGTGTCTGCGTCTGAGATAGCGACGGGAATCCAGAAGGAATGAAAAATCATGCTTTTTTTCCTCCTCCGATGCTTCATCAGAAGAGAAGGGCCTCTTTCCATGCTTCGATCGATCCACCTTGTTCAATTCTCTTTATATCTCTGGCTGCTGATCTTCTCCCGTATGTTTATGCTCTACATACATATCATACTCCTTTTTTCTCTCTGATCAAGTTTGCTGATCATCAGATTCAGCAGGTAGTACAGCTTGATAAGCAGATCTGCGATTTCTTCGAGAGAAGATTCATCAAAGGTGAGAGAGATGAAACAAGGGTCGAAAGAGGAGATGTTTTATGATTGTCATCTTAAATAGGATTGAGAAAAGGTTGCAAGGGAAAGGAGCAAAAAACCGAAAACAAAAAAAGCAAAAAAAAAAAAAAACAAAGGGAAAAGAAAAGAGCTGATGTAAAGAACAGGATGACGGGGGCTTCCTTTGGTGGTTTATTACTCAACGTTGAAATCAAGTTTATCTGCCTCTTTAGAGATTTTAATTTTAATTTTAATTAATAAAAAATACATATTTAATTATGATTATTTTTTACATATTTTTATTTTTATTTTTTAATATTATGATATGCATAAAAAAATAATTATGAGATGTAGTTTTACAATTCACCCTTTTACATGCTGCTGTATTTTATTAAAAATACTAAAAAAGTTGAGTCTAGCAAGAAGGAATAATCTTTTCACAATATGTTAAATCAAGATTCAAATTTATATTAACAAAAGTGTCTATATTTAATATTTAACATGCCTTAAACAAGATGTCTTTGTCCTTCGATTCAGGGGTACATGTAAGTAATGAAAAAGATTTAATGAGCATCTAAATCTTAAACTATTGTATGAATGGAATTCTAAATTTTAAACTTTTGAAATGTATAAAAATTTCTTTCAACTTTTAAATTTCAAGCTCTCCTATAATTCCACCCTTAAATTGAAGAAAATGGTCATTAGTTTTGTAGTTGTGGGACTCATTCATATACTAATATGTCACTCATCTTGACTCTTAAAATTAATAATCATTCTCTCCAATTTAATGAAGGGGTTTTAGGTGTTCAAAATTTAGAAATTTTGATAGTGTTTATACATTTTAAGAGTTTATAATTTAGAAAAAATGATAATAAAATCTCTCTGAAATATATAAATGATAATTTAGTTTCTCAAAATGCCATAATTTTCCTAAAGTTCTAGAAATTTTTTTTCATTAATGAAATTATATAAATTATCAAATTGCCTTTATTAAAAATAAATAATTTATAAATTTTATTTAAATATTCACAACTTTCCTTCTTATATATTCACAATAATGCAATAGTAAATAAAAAATTTAACATGTAAAGTAGTAATTTATTGTTTTATTGTTGTGAATATCAAAAGAAAAATTATAAATATTAAAACAAAACTTATAAATCTTAAACTATTGTATGAATGGAATTCTAAATTTTAGACTTTTGAAATGTATTAAAAAATTTTTTCACTTTTAAATTTCAGCTTCTCTATAATTCCATCCTTAAATTGAAAGAAAAATGGTCATTAGTTTGTAGTTGTGGGACTCATTCATATACTAATATGTCACTCATCTTGACTCTTAAAATTAATAATCATTCTCTCCAATTTAATGAAGGGGTTTTAGGTGTTCAAAATTTAGAAATTTTGATAGTATTTATACATTTTAAGAGTTTATAATTTAGAAAAAATGATAATAAAATCTCTCTGAAATATATAAATGATAATTTAGTTTCTCAAAATGCCATAATTTTCCTAAAGTTCTAGAAATTTTTTTATCATTAATGAAATTATATAAATTATCAAATTGCCTTTATTAAAATAAATAATTTATAAATTTTATTTAAATATTCACAATTTTCCTTCTTATATATTCACAATAATGCAATAGCAAATAAAAAATTTAACATGTAAAGTAGTAATTTATTGTTTTATTGTTGTGAATATCAAAAGAAAAATTATAAATATTAAAACAAAACTTATGAATTATTTATTTTCAACAAGAGCATTTAATAATTTATATAATTTTATTAATGATAGAAAAGTTATTACGATTTTAAAAAATTATGATATTTTAAAGATTAAATTATTATTTATATATTTCATTGAATTTTATTATCATTTTTGTGATATTTAAGATGTTATTCCAGCATATTTAGGGTTTAGATGCTGATTAACCCATAAAAAAATGCCATTAAAAAAATACTATTTTCTAGAATAATTCTGCTAAAGGACGGCTATTACACGTGGCAGCTCATGTACGAGGACCTTTTGAAATTCTGCATAATTGGGGTGCTTGTCGTGTTGTCCAAATGTCTGTAGCGCAGAGAAAGTACCGGTACTCGTAATAATACATTGAATCAAACCCAGCTATTCGTCGAATAAGTTCCTTTTTTTTAACATTCAGAAAAGGTTTTTTTTTTATTTCCAGAACAATTTTTTTTTCTCGAATCTAATTATAGTAGTTAGAAGTAGAGTTTGTTTCGTATCTCGTTCGCATTCTTTTTAACAAAAAATTAAATCTATTTGCCTATTTTATAAGATATTTTTTGGAATGATTTAATGTTTCCTGATACAAGATGTTCTAGTAAAAAATAATAATTTATTGATAAAATTTATTTCAGAATTAACTTCGTTATCTCACTTTTAAAAAAAAAATTTCCCCTACCTCTTATAACATGAAAAATATTGTTACCAGTTTAAGTTTTTTTTAGAGAAGTTAAGATTTTAAACGGTATTTAATTAATTGATTTCATTGTCATTCATGATTTTAGCCAAAATATTTTATAAGATGGGATGAAGGGAGTATAACATATATAAGAAAAGAATAGATATATATAAATATAAAATTAAAAATATAATCTTATGAATATTATTGTATTCTGTATAATTATCTGTCTGACACATAACCATGTAATGATGATTACATGCACATTATAGTCTAAAAAAAATATATCACGCAATTGAGAAATAGGAGAATTACTTAAGGTTTCACTACTATACTCTTGAGTCTATTGACAATTGAATTTAGGAGTGTCATCATTTTTTTAAATTTAGTTGTCAATAAACTTAAAAGTAATTAATTGTATTGACTGAAATTTAATTATAATTCTCTCTTGATAAATTTGTGAATATAGTAGTATTGTAATATTTATATTTAAAGAATTAAGGAAGTAATTGCTTTGATGAGTAGGACCACTAACCTGCAAGCATTCAAATATCCCGAAATCATGAAACCCACGGTGGTTTTCGCCCATAACTCGTAACTAGCTGGAGATAGATCGGTGAGGCCCAATTTGGAAAAAAAAAGAAAAAGGCAGACCAAGGTTTGGGATTTGCGCCATCCCAGTGCTCACTTGTCTGTGGTGGTTCGTGGAGTGTTATATATATATATATATATATATATGGTGCCCGCTGGGCCACTGGAATATTGAACGTGAAGAGAATTTGAATGTGCTTGAGGCACCACGGTAACACTGACATGTTTTCTTCTTGATTACAAAAATTAAAGAGACTGTTGACATGTCATGTGCAAAGAAGTGGATGACCCCACGTATTATTTTTGAAGGTACTGGAGAGGTTGATGATGATGTGAAGGCGTGACAATCAGAGTTTATTTGTGCACTGTTGTTTGTGCACGGGGGGCATCATTAAGATTTCAAAAGCATCTTGGTGTGTACTTGCTTTAGCCGGGGGGATTTGATGATGGGGACTGCAGTTCCATATATGGGATGGTTTAGCCGAGTTGCATATAAATTATATGCTGATGTCTTTTGACCAAAAAAAAAAAATCATATGTTAATGTCGTTTTCAAACTACAATTTTTAATGCATTCTAGTGTATTTGCGCGTGAGTGTTTTTCTAGGCCAGTCAATTGGATGTTCATTCATTCACGCGAGAGAATCATCATCATCATTTATTATCCATATACATTTAAGATTTGACAAAGTTTAACATTGATTATTGTCTTGTTAAGACTCTAATACAACAATCTTCATTTATCCTGACATGAGACCTATTGCAAAATATAGACAAAGTTGATTCATATAAACTCACTTGGTGTGAAGGGGACTAACTATCATGGGCAATGACCCCCCCTTGAATTTTATTTGTTAACATTGTTTATATATTATATACTTTTATTTTAAAGATTTATGAAAATATTATAGTGTATATATTTTTTAATCTCATATCTCTTATAGTTAAATAATGGTTTGATTTGGGAAGTTATTGTTGAATTTTTTATCTAGAAATAATCTATTTCCACCTATACCCACACATGCAAAAACACACACAATCACGTAATAGAA